GGAGGGAGGGGGGAGGGAAGTAACATCTCCTAATGTGCTCCTTTTCCTCTTTTTCTTTTTAAGCACCAGGCTTATGGAAAAATTACTGTTAAGCTTCAATACAGCAATTCCTCTCCTATGCTGACTAGAACAGTGGCTCTTGAACATTTTTCTGCTCCAGCAAACCTAACTGGCTGACTATGTCAGGGAATTTCACCATGAAGAAAAGGGGTTATTTGAAACAGCCCCCTAAATGGTTTTAAAATGCACTACTTTTCCAATTGGGCAAGCTGTTTCCATTTCCTCCCAATCACTGATCTAGTATCTGCACCATCGATAACAGAGGCTAACTGCTTAGATTTTTTCTACTCTATCACACACTAGCATCTTGTTTTAAAAAACACATATACTGAGTTTCACAAAAGGTTTCTCAGGGGTAATGTCTTTCATTCTGAAGGTGCCAAAAATTCAATGTTGTCACAGAAATACTTAGAAATACCTTAGAAATATAGGGGAAGTGACATGAAAGTGAAATTACGAATTACAGCATTATCAGCACCTATGGCTCACATTAATCTTACTAACATACAGATGAAAAACTGAGTAAATTTACAAGTACGACATAGGTCAACTACACAGACTCTAAGTCCTTAGAAAGAAGTATTATCTAGCCTTAAAGTAATTAGATAATACTTCCTTTTAAGAAATTGTGCCCTTATTAATGGAGGTCAGCTCATTGTTTGCCACTAAGACAACAACTACTGGATTACGGGCTCCATAAATATTTCAAAATGCATTAGTTCTCAGCATCTATCTCTCAAGCTCATAAGATTCAGCCATGGCCAGTGTGGCTCAGCTGGTTGGAGTGTCGTCCCATACCCCAAAAGGTCATCAGTTTGATTCCTGGTCAGGGCACATACTTGGGTTGTGGGTTTGTTCCCTGGTCAGGGGAGGCAACCAATTGATGTCTCTCTCTCTCCCTCTCCGTCTCCCTCTCCCTTCCTCTCTCTAAAATCAATAAAAACATATCCTTGGGTAAGGATTAAAAAAAAGAAAGATATCCACCCATCCAACCCTAAGGCTTCTATTTTACAAGTAACTTATTTCTCACCAGTCAAGAGGATTCAAATAGCACAAACACAAAAGCAAATGCATAAGGAACCCAGTAGTGAGTAGTGTGTGCACTGGTGTCAAAGGTCCTAGGCCTCAATCCCACCTCTGCCACTTCTCAGCTCTATAACCCTGGACAAGTTGCCACTGCTCTACATCACAGCTTCCCTGTCTATACAAAGGGCTAGCAGGGCTTATTCACAGTGGTTTTATTCTGAGGATTAAATGGCATAATTCACATAAAGCAAAATCACTGTCTTGGCTCCCCACATTCTATATGCAGTAATGTTGCTGCTGTTAGGGTTATTACTATTACTTGTGATGTCCAAGCCCAGTCAGCACCCAGCTCTACCTACACCCTTAGAGCAAGAGAATGAGAGTGTATTTGCTTCAGTCCTACTCCTCCACCCTCTAGGATTCAGGTTTAGGTATTAGTGGAATAGGGACCCAGGTGAAAGTCAGAGAAACATGCAGGTATTGCAACAGAATGAGAGGGTGTCTACTACAGCTAACTTAAAGGGTAACAGATATGTGCTATTCAATAATCTTCCACAACAATGCTCTGAAGCAATACAAATTCCTTTAACTGACACCTAACACAAGCATCTAAAATCTTTTATAAGGTTATTCCTTTGGAGTACGTTTTAAGAACTGGATAAGGAATGATACCATGTATTTATAAACATCATGCTTAAAAGTAAAGTTATATTTCTATTAAAATCAGAATCAAGCACCAATACCCTTTATAATAAATCTTTTTAACATCACTGGGAAATTCCAGAAACAGAAACAACAGATAAAATTACAGAAAAATAAGAAACAAAATGATCATTAACAGAGGAAGTAATTGTCTATCTGAAGGATTCCTCAGGAATGCCTTTAGAATATCTTTAAGTAAATAACAAAATATATGTGGAAACATTAAAGGTTTTCTCATGTGCTAGCAACAAATAATTAGAAAATTCAGGAAAAAGATACCATTCATGACAGGAACAATACACCAAAATAAATGTAACATTCACATGAAATGTGTAGGACCAAATGGGGAAAAGGGAAAAAACAGTAATGAGAGGTACAAACTCCATTCATTTATTTTTTTTCACTCAATAAATATTTATTTGGCACCTGGACCGCAGCAGGCACCAAGGCTAAGTACAGGAGGTATACCTGAACTCGTATTATAAAGATGTG